CCAATAACAACTGCCTTTAACACATGACGGAATGAATGAAAGAGCACTACTAATTCAGTACAAACAAATGATTTGGTAGTGCGGTGGCCTAGACGAAAGCAAATGGTAGGTTAAATTATGAAAACTGATTAAAAAATCAAAAATCTTAATTATTTTCCATTTCTTCTAGGTTATTAATTCCAAACTATTGCTGCTGCTGCAAAAGAAAGGTCCAAACCTAGTAAATGAATGAAAAACAAATTGAAAAACGTAACACGGAGAAGTCAACATCTAGTCAAGTACCGCTGTGCGGGAACCGTAGCAATCGACTGTGGTTATTATTTTTTTTTTCTTTAAAAAAAAATAAAAACAAACTTTTATTGTAAATTTCATTTTCGCTATATAGGGTGAATGTTTTGTAATATTAGCATAGGTTTAGGTATTTAGTTTTCATAATTGTTCATAAACTAGTTTAATTCGTTTTGTTTATATATATTTTTTTATTATTATAATTATTATTTATATTTTCAACCTAATTATGTCTCCTTTCTAATATTAATATCTCTCTATACAAAATATGAGAAAAAAATGCGCCTTTATACATTTATTTATTTATTGATATAAAATTATTTATTAATTGGTTTATTTGAAAAAAAACAAAAACAAATTTTAATAAAAAACAATTTTGCTTGCTTTTTTGTTTTGGTTTCCCAAGACCAAAAATATAAAAAAAATTATGAAAATGAATCATTTCATAATTTCATACAAATCATGAACTGTATTTGTATTCAATAAAAAGAATCAAAAGAATCGAACAGCTTAGCCTTGATATTAACTTATTTTATTGGGAGGTGATGATGAGGTAAGTTGTAGTTTTTTAAGTTAAATAATATAATAAGTGTTTATGTATCTAATATATAGTCGGTTAATTTTAAATAATTGAAAAAGGTTTTTGTTTTAATTTTATATTAAAATTTGTAATAGGTTTTTTAGGTATCTATTATATGGTCTTTTAGTTTTAAATTATAGAACGTTTTTTTTTTTTTGCCGGCAATCGATATGAATCTCATATCATTAGAAGGCACCTCAAGTTTGTGAGGAAGTATGTCAATCTTCCAGAGAAATGTTCAGATCAGTTAAAGTCCATCATAAATTGTAAAAAAATGCAGGTCGCATTTATTATCCGAATGAGATGAAATTTGGCAAAGATCATTTATTTACCTCAATGACGAGCCCTGTTGAAATTCGTGATAATAGGTTCAGATTTAGATATAGCTCCCATATATATTTTCGTCCGATTTAATGAAAATGTATCTTTCGATTTGCACACAATTTTGCATAGCGCACTTTATTGAGCCTAGAATGATGTCTGCCAAGTTTTGTGAAAATCGGTTCAAATTTAGATATAGCTCCCATATATATTTTCGTCCGATTTTACGTAAATGGTGCACCAAAGACCCTATATATCTTTCGAGTTGCACAAAATTTGGCATAGGGTACTGATATAGGGACAGAAGTTTTGTGAAAATCGGTTCAAATTTAGATATAGCTCCCATAGACCCTATAAATCTTTCGATTTGCACGAAATTTTGCATAGTGCACTGAATTTTGTCTAGAATGACGCGTGTCAAGTTTCGAGAAAATCTGGTCAGATTTAGATATAGCTCCCATGTATATTTTCGTCCGAATTTTAGTAAATAGTTCGCCAAAAGGTCAATGTTAGGCCGATTAGCACGAAGTTTTGCACAACGTACTGTAGTTAGGATAGCCTAACGTATGCTAAGTTTTATTGAAATCGGTTCGGATTTAGATATAGCTCCCATATATATTTTCGTCCAATTTTAGGTAAATGGGACACCAAAAGATCAATGTTAGGCCGATTGACACGAAATTTTGCACAACATACTGAAGTTAGGATAGCCTAACGTGTGTCAAGTTTCGGTGAAATTGGTTGGGATTTAAATGTAGCTCCCATTTATATTCTCACCCGATTTTATGTAAATAGTGCATTAAAGGGTCAAAGTTAGGCTGATTGACTCGAAATTTTGCAAAAGGTGCTGAAGTTAGGATAGCCTAACGTGTGTCAAGTTTTGGTGAAATTGGTTCAGATTTAGATATAGCTCCCATATATACTTTCTTCCGATTTTTAGTAAATGGTGCACCTCCCAATATTAATCCGATTTAGACAATTTTGCACAGAGTACTGAATTAGATCTAGATTGATGTATGCCAAGTTTTATTGGAATCGGTTCAGATTTAGATATAGCTCCCATATATAGTTCCGGTTTAGATTTAGATATAGCTCCCACATATATTTTCGTCCGATTTTTGGTAAATAGTGCACCAAAGGGTCAAAGTTAGGCCGATTGTTACGAAATTTTGCACATCGTACTAAAGTTAGTATAGCCTAACGTGTGCCAAGTTTTATTGAAATCGGTTCAGATTTGGATATAGCTCTCATATATATTTTCGTTCGATATTAAGAAATGGTGGACTAGAGGCCCAAAATTTGACCGATTGGCACATAATATTCTCCCTTTCATATTTTATTTAAAAATATCCACATCAATTTCTGTATATACTTACCTAGATATAATCGATGCCGTTTCAAATGTTTCGGTGGATGAACTATTTTTCGGCGGATTTTTACATCCAGACAATGAGGAAGAAGATGTTCGTGTTACAACAATCGATGGTTTCGAATGACGTTGATGGTGATGATGCTGATGTTGTTGGAGTGGCGGCTGTTCATGAATTTGACATTTCTGGGCGAAAGATGTTCTATCGGATTGATGTCTCGTATATTCCAAATAATCACGTTTTGCGGGACTCTGTTGAACAAAAGGATTTCTACTTTTCCTTATTCCCTGCCCCTGTTCATCATCACCATTTAATTTAAAATCATTATTAACTATTTCTTTGTGAAATATCGTTGAGGAAGGATTTAAAATATTCTCAAGTACAAATTCCGGGGATGGACAATAGGGTGATGAACCTAAAGAATATTTACGTGAAGCTGCTGCATCATGATGATTTTTGTTATTAGATATTTGCAATGTCTTGCCACTTATTATGGGACTTGTGGGTTTGGAAACATGTTCCGTATTATTCATCGGCCGAATTATACCCAAAGATAGAGATTTCTTTTGTTGTTCGGATTTTTCAATTGGTTCATTTATTTTGATATTTTTCCATTTAACATTACCACCACCTGGGGTTGTTGTTGCTGTCGTTGTCGTTGCAGAGGTTGCATTACTAGCAGTGACATTTGTCATTTGTTGGCTATTATTTGTATTAACGGTCATTGGCCTTGTTATATCCGCTTCCGTATTTATCGATTTATTGATTGCCGTCTGAAATGTCGTAACTTGTGAATTAAATAATTTTTGTTGTTGTTGCTGCTGCTGTTGTGGTAATTTTAAGGCAATCTGTTCGGTACTCAAACTCAAGTGGAGCTTTTGTCTTGAGCCAGTCTCTGTTATAGGCCGATTTTTCTTATTTCCTGTTGCTGCACAACTTTGTTTTTGATCATCATCATAATCATCATCGTTTTCCACTTGTTGATAGGCATTTTCAAAACTTTCCTCTGGTACCACCCATATCTCATCATCTTCTTCCTCGGAAAATGTCCGCTTCATTATATTTGGGTGAGGTACTTCCTCTGCATCTTCAGCATTTTTTCCAATTTCATATAAATAACTTTTATTCATTTTTTGAATTCGTTTTTAAGTCATTTCAGGCGTGTTTAGTTTTATTCCGACCAACGTTAAACTGTTAACTAGCAAAGAGCGGTTTGCTTTTTAACATTTACACCTTTCTTTTGCCAGACTGCTATAATCCAATTATGTGCGTCTATTTGAATTGACAGAAGTATTCCGTGGGTATAGGGTTTGGCTATTTATCAAGCACAAAAATAAGTAACTGAGAATGGATGAGAATTTCGACTCAACCATTTGAATTGGCATTGGAGAAAATCCGTTCAGATTTAGATATATACATTTTCGTCCGATTTAATGTAAATGGTGCACCAAAAACCTTATATATCTTTCGAATTGCACGAAATTTGGCATAGTGTACTAAATTCAGCCTAGAATGATGTGTTAAGTTTCGTGAAAATCGATTCAGATTTAGATATAGCTCCCACATATATTTTCATCAGATTTAATATAAAAAGTGCACCAAAGTTCCCATATATCTTTCGATTTTCATGAAATTTGGCATAGTGAACTGAATTAAGTCTAGAATGATGTGTGTTAAGTTTCGTGAAAATCGGTTCAGATTTAGATATATCTCCCACATATATTTTCGTCCGATTTTATGTTAGTGGAGCACCAAAGTCCCTATATACATTTCAATTTGGTATTGGGTACTGAATAACAAAAAAGCATATATGTACGTGTGGCCTCTTCTGCCAAAAATAAAATAAATATACGCAACAAGTGTTTATGTTTATTAGACATTTTTTCAACACAAAACTAAAAACGCGAAAAATGAATGAAAGGTTATGATTTCTTCCCAAAATCCAGTAGGGAATACCATCAAATGTTTGTTTTATCCATAACAAAGTAATTACTTCCAGAGGAACATGTTAAAAACAAAATTTTCATTTCAATTAAATTTGAATATATTTCAATTTATTTTGAATTTATTTGACATATTATTAAAAACATTACACACACATACACAAAATATGTATTTTGATTTGATGGAACAAGCCACCTTGAGAAAAAATTGTAATCAATTGGTAGCTGTGCCCTACCTTGTAATAATTATACCATATTTAGTATTTTTCGTGCTGTTCTAGTAGGAATTTCCAAAACCCCTTAGCTGGCACCTTTGGACTTAGTGGATCACTCTTTTCATAATCTAAGAGAACATAGACATTTCCTTCAGTCCTTCTAAGTAAGTAATTTTGTTCATTCTTAATAACACATTTTTGGCTTTAGATACGGAAATTTGCATGTTGTAAACAATTTTATTAAAATGTATATACTAATGATTATTTAAATAAAATTATTAAATTAAGACAACGTACACTAGAAGTTAAAAGCGAACAAAAATACAAATTAAATTAATCTAAAATTTATTTTTAACTATATATTATTTTGAAGGTTTCACCATTTTTTTCATATTTTTGAAGTGTTTAATGGTATCGGTGACTCCACCTTTGCGCATATTATTAGCCTTGGTTAACAGTATGCGAATTTTATTTTTTTCTTCGAAACTCAAAGTTTTAGCATCAACCTGTTTCACCAGATCCTCCTCATCTTCTTTGTTCTTGTTCTTCTTTTTGTTTTTATTTTTCTTCTTATTTTTCGTGGGTGCATTTTCAGTTTGTCCGGCAATATGTTTTTCTTCCATATTCACATTCTCGGCATCATCCTTGCTTTTCTTCTCTGGCGGACACAATGCTTCCTGATCATCTGCTGTATTTTTCCTTTTCTTGTTTTTATTTTTCTTCTTTGGGACTTTTGCATCGTTGTCTGATGTTGTGGATTTCGAGTTCTCTGTCTTCTCTTCACCAAAATCATCCCACTGAGTGGGTGCTTTTCGCGCTTCTTCCATTAACAATTTGCGATAGTTTTTCTCACGTTCTTTTAGGAATTTCTTGCCTTCTTCTGTATCAAAGTTAGCCTGTTTAGAGGCATGTTCCTCTTCGCGCTGTTTGTGATTTAAATCATCTTTAAATTTTGTCCATGGTGTAGCTTCTTCAGCTCTTATGTCTTGTGGGTTACTCGATCGAAAAGGATTTCCTCCCTTGAATTTATTATTGTTGTCCTGTTTCTGTGGAAAATTATCTCCTCCCCTGAACTTATTGTTGTTGTTCCGATGCGGTGGTTTCATGTTATTACCCCTACGAGGAGGTCCTTTGAAATTCTTTTTGTACTTTTGATATCCATCTTTATTGTTACCGCCGCCAATTCTGGAATTCTTGAAACGATTTAATTTATTGAATTGCTCCTTGACCTCAACGACTCGACGAGATGGATCAAATTTATTCAAACCCCATTGGGAAATAGCATCACCATCATTTTTACTATTTATTTTCAAATCTAATTTCTTTTTCTCTCCAAACATGCTGTTTCTGTGTAGGGATAAATAACTCGAATAACCGACAGTTGGTTTTCCAACGTTTAAAGGCGAGTACACACTATCAGTTGGGAATGACAAGTGTTTTTTATCGATTTCTGTAGCGCGTTTCTCTAAAGGCGAGTATACACTATTAATTTTGAATGGCAGTTTGATTCAAAATTTGCTGGTTTGATCGTCATTCATCAGGCATCTATGAAAATAATCATAATCGATAAAAATGAGGACGGTTCAAAACTAAATTTTAAATGAAAAACTTTTGAATTTTGTAGAAATTACTCGGCAATAAAATGATTAAGATTTGATGAATGACGTTTTGCAAAAAAATGTTATTAGTTGATTTGTTGGGACTTGCATATTTGTTACTCCATTCTGTCCAGTACGGACCTATCTTGCTTAAAAACGTACAATTAGATTTGCTTGTAAATATATAAAATATGTCTGTTCCCGTACTGTAATAATCTATTACTTTTTACTACGATAACAAATTTTCATTTATGATATCGAAGAAAATAGTAAAATCTAGTAGATTCTTGAAGTACGGGAACCGACCAATTGTGTTAAGAAGTCGTTAAGTACCAGTGGGCCAAATTTGTGGTCCGAAGCGAATAATCTTGGGACCTGCAAAAAAGAATACCTATGTAACCTATGTTTTCCAGGGATATTTTGCAATCCATAGGCCATAAAGAAGAGTAAGAGTACCAGTGTGGCGCCATGGTAGTATCCCCGCCCCGATTGGCAATGATTCCGAGAGTTTTTCAATCATTGCTTCATAGAGCTACTCATTATCTTAGATTCTCATATATCTGAGAGGAATTTCCGGAAAATCGTCACATCTACAGCTGCACGCTATATACCTCCTGGACGAATGCCCGAAGTAGGACCAGTGACGAACTTCTTACTACGACCCCTGAAGACCCAAGAGTTAGAGAACTTACTCTTGAGGTCAACAGGCCTGCTGGAGCAGTGTAACAATTATGACAGCAACATGTAAATTGTGGACAACGGTTAAGCCACCCTTGTATCCTAGAAGAAAGACCGATTTCCAAATTTAACTACGTGAGTGCGACAGATTCAAAAAAGTTGATTGTGTTTTTGTTAAACGTCTGTTTATTGAGCTCCGCGAGAATGATAGAGCCAAGATGAGTGTGCTATGCCGGATAAGAGGCCTCCTAGCAAATGAGGTACCAGCACAATCTATGAAGGAAGAACGCCAATTCAAATTGTTATGTCCGTACGGAATTTCTAGACAGAGACAAATGAACATAACATTAGACATCTATTTATCGATATCCCCCCATTGTAGTTCCTGAATGCCTGGAAAATAGGCAGTATGGGCCCGCTGCTAACATTTTGTATAAAATAAAACAATTTATAAAGGAATATCAGAGTCAAACTTTACTTTGGGCGTCATCCTCTTTTATTATTTTAAAATAAAGTAGTCCAACTTAACAAGCCAAGCCTGAAGTCCTCAAATGTGTTTCTCCTTTAAGAACAAGGTCCTCAAGCTGCTGGCCGTCAGTGCTGACAAGGTGACCTTGTTGATCTATTATAAAGCAATAAACAAGGTCTCTGGTTAGCTATATAGCGCTAGTGTAGTTTTCGAATGTAATGAAAGAGAAGGAGATAGGTGGAAAAATACAAACGCGAACCTAGTTAGGATCAGGATGATGCAACCGTGTCAATTCCATGAAGCACGAGACCTAAAATATACCCATCATATGGACTAGGACCACACGATACATTGCACCTATTCAACTGCACACTCACCTAGCTCTGAATTCTGTATGGACGCCAACCGTACAGTCAATTTTGTTTTGTCAAAAATTAAAAGACGTTCTCGCAGACGTTTTCAATATGGCTATATATATTTTGACTTTAGCCCTATACAAGGTCTGCCAATTTTAAGTATTTTAAAGTTTCTGTATACATTATACCACGGAACAATTATTCAAGGTAGGTCATAGCAACTTATAAATTACAATTTGTTCATACTGTGGCATGTTATGCCAAAGTCATATACAAAAAGTGTGACTGTGTGTGTAATGTATTGAAAAATATAAAAAAATATATTCGAAAATCTATTTGTTTTAAGATAACTTTGACAACATTTGTAAGAAGAAATGTTTGATTTGTGAATGATTCAATATTTAACCCTTTGAGCCCCGAATTTTTTTCCCACAAACTTAGAACAAATTTCAGTTCACAGATTTAATGCAACTATCCCAAATAGGATATGCACAAAATTTGACATTGATATATCCTTGCTTTCGGGAGATATAGTACATTCTTTCGGAAAAAATAAAGTCCAATATCAAGAAAACCAAATGCAAAATCGTCAGTAAAATCATTTTAAATTATTCTCTATATTCAATTTTACAAGAATCAAAAATAATTCTGAGGGTAGAATTTGTACAATTTGAATACGAAGCGATTTAAATAATTTGGACTGTATACACAAATTAGTACTGTACACAAATTTACCCTCTTCTCCATATTGAAAATCTCATAACTTTACCAAAATTTTGAATTTTTTTGATTTTTCTTTTGATATGTGTAGTCCACAATCAGGTCTTCACATATGAAATCCAAATAATACATATCTACTAGCTGCATATAAAATATAAGCTCTAAAACATTTTGTTGCCTGTGGGCAACATTGGGCCACAAAGGGTTAAATCATATACCCGAAAACCTGACATTCCATCCAATTTACAAAAATTCAAGACGTTCAAAAATTACAAGACGTTTTCAATATGGCTCTATATATTTTGACATTGGACTCATACAGTCTGCCAATTTTAATTATATAAAAGCAACGCAAATTTTAGATTTTTCGATATGTTTCCAAATTTGTTTCTAAAAAATTTCCTTGATTTCAACTTGATGTGTTACCACAGCCTTTTACTTCACATGTGCTTTGTTTTCATTACTTCATTTTACAACCCTGCTGCATGCACGTGTTGTTTTGCCGCTCTGTAACTGCAAGTGTTTACATTCTCTGCTCTCGATTTATTTGTGTTTTTGTGATTGCTGGTCTGGAAATGGATGGAAATCGTGGCTGGGACAATGGAGGTGGATCTCGAGGAAATCAGAATTTTCGATCGCGAGGTGGTTTTGGTGGAAAAAATCGTGGTGGACGTGGCAGAGGTCGTGGACGGGGTGGTTCTCGGAATGAATTTAAAAAATTTGTAGATGTTGAGTCTCGGGAAAAGGATCAAAATTGGAGTGGTCGAAGATCATGGGGTTATGATAATAATAATTACAACAACAACAGTAATAATCAAAATAATTTTGAACCGCGTAGAAGTGGTTTTGGTGGAACATCTTATTTGTACAATAAGGACAAGGATGCATCCAATAATAACAATAACAACAACAATAACAATTCGTCGACTTTTGATCGGCCATCATTTGATGCAACAAATAACTCCACACAACAGATGGAAAAGCAGCAACAACAGCACGAGCAAGTGAATAACCAAATAAATTTGTGGAATAATTCCTCGACACCGAACACATCAAGAAATAAATCCTTGTCAACAGAAACAAATCTGGCCGCTGAGAAATCTGCAGTGGATAACAATAAATTGTTGGTAAATATAAAACAAGAAAAAATAAAAAAGGAAAGAACAACATCAAGTAGTTCATCATCATCAAGTGATTCTTCATCATCGTCGTCGGATGAAGATGATGAGGAACCAAAAAATACTGCTGCCACACAAAAAGCTGAGGCCTCAAATAAAGGTGCTCCAGCAAGTCCCTTGAATATAAGATTGAAACCAATATCAACGATAACAACTACGCCCGTTGTGAAAACCAATAAGAAATCTGTGCCACCATCGTCTTCTTCCTCCTCCTCATCATCATCTTCTTCATCAGAAGAAGAACAAGATGCAGTTCCTCCACCACCGCCAAAACGACCTCCACCTGTTCCTCAAACAGTTCATAATGATACTGACAAGACTAGCAAAAAATCGGAAAAATCCAAAAAGAAGAAAAGTAAAAAATCCGAAGATGATGTTGTATGCCTTGGAAAACTAGAAAATAAGGTTACATTGGATGAAGATGATGATGAAGAACAGGAAGCTAGGTTAAATGAAAGCAGCGATGATGATGCCAATACCTCAAAATCTAAGAAGAAATCCAAGAAAGCATCTAAGCCCAAAAAAGAGCAATGCATGCTATGCGATAAAAAGGTATGCAAGATAAATTTAATTTTCAAATACGTATTTGAATTAAACCAAGGAATTAAACTAATTGCATTTTTTTGATTTCCTCCTTCATACAGGGTCATACATCTTTCCAATGCCAAATGATATGTAAAAATTGTTCAGCACCATATCACGGCTATCGTAACTGTCCACATCCTGCAAATCTAAATATAATGATGCAGCTATATTTAGAATTTTGTATGCAACAATTACAAAATTTCCAACCGGAAACACAATTTCAGCAATGGTTGTCGAACAACGCAATCAGCTCAAGAGATATTACTGTACCACAACCCCTGGTGGGTTCACCAGCTCCCCCAACAACAATAAAAAATAAGGCAGGAAAACGGAAAAATGCCACCGCAAAAAATAAAGAAATTCCAACGAAAAAACGAAAACTATCTGCCACAAAAAAGTATGCCAACAACAAAAACAACGATGATGATGAGGATGAATCTGATAGTTCATCTGAATCAGATGAAGATAGTACCTCCTCTACGGATAGTGATGATTCTTCAGAAGGTTTTCAACAGGAGCCACCATCAACAAATGGCAATAGTAAAAAATCGAAAAATAAAACAAAATCACTTAATCCATCTGCCTTTAATATGAATAATTTCCTGCCAAATAATCCAGTTAGTTTCCCCCTTACATTGAATACCGGAATACCAAATCTACCTAATGTTACAAATCAACATTTAAATAATCTACTTTTATCGCAAATGTTTCAAAATGCCATTGGTACTATGACTAAGAAAAAACGTTCATAATTTATATGTATGTTTAAATTGTGTTGTAAAATAATGTAAATAAATTATTTTTTTAATCGAATGTTATGTTTTCAGTTGCATGACATGGTATTTGTATAATTGTAATGCCATTTGCAACATGTCATTGTAAAGTGGCTGTAATATATACATTTCCCTACCAACAATAAACAATCAGCCTTATGCTGGACATCAATTCAATTTGTTCGCTCTTCTTTTTAAATGTATTCTGAACCAGAACTCGCAGTGCAGTTTTTTCTCATTTTCGCCTTCACCACTTTGGGTACATACAATAGATGATAATGTATACAATATCCTGTTGATAGAAGAGACATAGCATATTTGAAAGACCGAAAAAATTTGTGATCTACATGAAAAACCACCATTGAACATTTAAAAAATCATAAACATGCCATTTTGCAATCTATGAAAAATTGCATGTCAATCAGGAAGACTTGGAATTTTTGGTGTAACATTTGTATGAAATCCAGACAAATTGTGTATGGGGGCTGTATGTAAATATGAACCGATTTTAACAAAACTTCACAGACGTCAAAGCGGACTTAATAATGTGCAACAATTTGTCTCAATCGTACAAATATGGTGCACCATCTAAATAAAATCGGTCGAAACTATATATGGGAACTATATCTAAATATTGACCAATTTCAACAAAACATCACAGACATTAAAATGGACTTACTTCAATACGCCGTGCAAAATTGTTGTCTCAATCGGACAAATATTGGGAGTTTGGTGCAACATTTACAAATAAAACGAATATATACGGGAGCTATATCTAAATCTAAACCGATTTTCAGGAAACTTAACACACATCATTCTAGTCTCAATTCGTATGCCAAATTTCGTCCATATCGAATGATATATAGGGACTTGGGTGGACCATTTACATTAAGGGGACCCCCATTCTCGGTGTCAATTTTTTTTATTTAATTCGAATCTATTCTAATTCTAGAATGTCCCTACAAAAAATATGTCCCTCTTGAAGATATAGCCGATTTATTGTGTCGGCATTAAGTGACGGCAAGAGTGATTCTCAAACTTTAAACGCATTTTTCTCGAAGTAGTGTTTTACGAATGGCGGGCACTATAACTCAAAAACTAATAATCCAATCGGTTCCAAATTTTTACATGTTTCTCTGGGAGTGTATAGCTCTCGTATGAACTAGGATTTCTTCCTTAGGACTTCCTTATTTTTTTAATTAGTTTGTGGTCAAAAATAGGCGATTTTCCAAAAAAAAAAAAAATGTATTCAAAGTTCCGCCATTTTGTTAATTGTTGTGCAAAGTCAATAATCCTAGTTCATACGAGAGCCAGACATGTACTCTTTCTAACACCGTTGGAATTTTCGGATTTCGATGTTCCAGTGAGGAGTTATCATGCCCGCCATCAAAAATAAGGATTTTCATTGATCACAAAAAACAACAACAACAAAAAATTTTGTAAATTATTTTTCTTCCTTTTTATCTTCAAATATATATGTGCAAAGCTACAATCCTTAAAAGTAAAAGTTTTTGGCACACAGCAGCTTTTTTGATGCTTAACTCTGGGCCCTTAAAATCTATTGAACATGACAATATTTTTCCAAAATAATAAAATAATATTCAATCTATTTTAGCCGTTTATCTCTGTTCATTCTGTTGTTATTGATATATTTTTTTAAAAAAATATATTCTGTACTGCTCGAACAATCGATCTGATATACGGGTATGTTCTGGAACTCACGGCGTGTTCTTTTCACTTCACACACCCACACTTCACCTCAGAAGCTACCTCCTGTTCTGCTTCTCACGTGAATTGAAATTTTGAACTGCGACAAAAATAAACGTCGACATGGTACTTTGCAGAAGTAGAGTTGCCACACAATATAAACTGTATTCGGTTTTAACATTGTTTCTGTAATTTTTTAGTAATTTCGTTAATTCTAACGATAATTTTATTATTATTTTTTAATATTTTATTATTCGCAACATAAAATATATGTATGAAAAACTCTGTAATATCATTAATTTGTTGATTGATTTAAGGGGAATATTTGGTAACCCTATCTTCTTCGGCCTTACTTCAAATCAGCTGTTTGTGTCAAGCAAGAAATTCAGTTGAAGAAAATTCAAGACAAACCTTAGCATCTATTTAAAATTTGTTTTTAATGGTTTATTTTGTGATTTTAAAGAATGTATACGCAATAACAACATATCAATCTATCATAATGTTCCTTTTTTATTTAATAAAGATTGTATTTTATATGGAAAAACATGAATACACCCGACTCTCACTATGAAAATGTAAGTGTAAAGAATACACCTCAAATGGGTGTAAAGTGTGTTACAGAACACCTCGGCGTGTGTTCGATACACTTTTGCCGTTGAAGTGAATGCCAGAACATGCCAGATAATAAATGCCAATATTAATCGATATTTCCTCACATACTGTAAAAATATTCCGGCCTTCTTCAATAAATTTTTTGAGATCGAATCGTTCCTTTAGATTAATTCCAAATTGTGGATTTTTTATTTCAAGGATTATTTATATATGTGGCCACTTCAAAATCGATCGGTTTCCAAAAAACCGTTATTTATAGAAAAATTGCATGCAATAATTTTCTATTTTCACACTTAATTATTTAAGTGCAGTATAAAGAAGTGTTCTTTATTAAAAATTTCTTAAAAATATGTTTGTTTACCACAAAAATGTTTTAATTACGTGACCACTACTGTATATCTAAATCGGAACCGATTTTAACGAAACTTGATAATGATGCATGCTCAACCAAATATTGTCACGGAATGCATAAAGGCAATAAGGAATATTTATGACGAGCTTAATGGAATTTGGAGGAAAATAAACACATTTTGTGTGAGGATTTGTCTCTACGGAAAAAATATTAAAAATTGGTATATCGATGAGGCAAATTTGTAGTGGAATGTATAATAAATTTGTTATTCCGCGAAATATTTATCGGAGATCCCATAAAGTAAATAAATTGCTGATCAAATTAAATTCTATGTCGATGTCTTGTGAAATTGCAATATTGAAGTAAAAGCTTTGAAATTTTCCAAATATACAGCTACTAGGACGCTTGGTATTGAAATTTGTTTTCAATTTACCCTTTATAAATACGCGAATACTTTTTACATAGGATTTATTAATCAAACTCTGTGCAATATATTTTTAACATTTTTACAAATTTATTACAATTGCAGATTTGTCTTATATACTATATACTTATTACAATAATATATATTAAGTATAAAATATGTAAATATCAACTATATTACATAAATTATGAGAATGTATTCATCTTATAAATATTATTGACATATTATCAAGATTAAATTCAATTGATATCAAACAAAAAAATTACAATTTGCATGCGTTCCGATTTACTTTTCATTTGAATTACAAAAATAATTATATTTTTACAAAATTCAAATCCATGTCTTATATTGAGATATTTTAAGTTTTAGGTTTCATTTGTTTCAAAAATATTATTAAGGTAGTATTAATTTTATTTGTGAATTTATGCCCTTAAACATGTTAGAATATATCGTAATATGTTTTGTAAATTTTACCAAAAACCAAAATGTGTATCAGAACCTAAAATGGATTTAGCCACTTTCAAAATAATTTACTCATTTAAACAATAAACTGATAAATATATGTATATATATATATATATATATTAAAATAGAAAATCCTTGCAGACTTATGGTAATATCATTTTCATTCTTCTTCCATATCTTCGTCTACTTGACGTACTTCCAGATCCACTTTACTCTGTGATCGTATTTCATCAATGAAATTATCAACAATTGGTTCATGGATCGTTGATTGCTTATTGAAAAAATATTTTTGTATAAAAAGCCAGACATAATACGATTCTTGGGGATAGGATATATCGAAAAATAGATATAATTTAAAACATAGTATCAGAGATTCTTTATAATTATCGCAACCAAAACCAGTTGAATCAATTACAACCGAATAATGTACATAGGTATTATTTTCACGGACCACAGCTATATAGGGTTTACACTGATATTGATTTTCCACGCAATAACGTTTACGTTCAATTACAATTTCTTTCAGATCGGCTAAATTACAAACTTCCACGGTGAATTGCCGAAAAGGATCATCCAAATAGGTTAGGTTCTCATTCGAATTAGCGTAGTTAAATATGCAATGTAGTAATTGTATTAATCGTACTGAAAAATAATCCGATTTAGTAGCATTTTGTTCATTTATGCTGCACAATTCATCGTATATATTTTTGGAGTATTCCGTTTTACAGCGACGCCAAAAATGTATTTGAAAATTATTCTCGAAATCATCCCATAATTTGTCATCAAATGTCATATCACCATATAGCGTTGATAAATCGGCATCAATCTGTGAAATAAAAGAATTGAATTACCAATTATTGTATTTCGTGTTTTTTAAATACTTACAAAAGTTGCATAATCTTGCTTTTTACAAAACGGATACTCATCAAAGTACATTTTCCAATTGCCAAAATATCCACTATGCAATTGATAACGCCGATATTCAAATGTCAGATTCCATTTCTTTAGTAGAAAATTCAAATCATCGATATTTTTTAATTGACCGCAAGCCGATTCCATTTTTAGACGATTCGATTTTGAATATGTTTTACCCGATTCCCTTTTCTGTAAACGTCGTTCGTTTTGATAATGATTCCATAGTTTACCTTTTGGTACGATTTACTTTTCATTTGAATTACAAAAATAATTATATTTTTACAAAATTGAACTCCATGTCTTATATTGAGATATTTTAAGTTTTAGGTTTGATTTGTTTCAAAAATATTATTAAGGTAGTATTAATTTTATTTGTGAATTTATGCCCTTAAACATGTTAGAATATATCGTAATATGTTTTGTAAATTTTACCAATAACCAAAATGTGTATCAGAACCTAAAATGGATTTACGTCACTTTCAAAATAAATTACTCATTTAAACA